ACCTTAGCCAGATGTGGATTTGGTGTGGGTGTGTTTGTATAACAGGTCACATGAGGGCGGGGCCAAGATGACAGTACTACAGGCAGACAGAATAGCATCATGAAAAAATAATAATGAAAGGCTATAATAGCATAATGCATGTAACAACTACATTCACTTAGTATTATTAAAACATAATAGCTATGGTCAAAAGTAGTTTAGGCAATAAGGCTGTGGAGGTGGCATTATTAGCAGGTTGCATTCTTTGAAGACTTGTTAATATATAGTCTTGATATGCTTGATCACAATGGTGACAATATTTCCCTTATTGTTTATTTTCTTATGAAGTAATTCTACTCTGAAGGCATAATCACAGCTGTGTAAGCCACTACGTCTCCATTATTTCTACATAGTATTATAGAAATGTCATTGAAAGACCTGATTCTGACCTAATACCACATTGCTCAACACACACACACACACACACACACACGAGAATTAAATATGGTAGAAAAGGTGAGAGGAAAACACAGATATATTGACAAAAAATGAATATTTAATATGAATGATCTGGTACTGTAGTGGGTACAGGTAAATATCATGAGGTTTTCCCTGTCTGTAGAGTGAGTATAGGTTCAATATCTCTTACCCAAAATGTTTTTCAGGTTTTTGTTCATTTCTAGATTTTAAACTGTTGTGTAGACTTTGTTGATAATTCCTAATCTCATAATCAGAAATCCAAAATGTTCCCAAATCTGAATCTTACTGAGTATCATATTGACACTAAAAAGTCTTCATAAATCATGCTCCAGGAATTTTGGACATTGCATTATGGATTAGAGATACTAAATTTGTATTTTATAGACATATTTGATAATTTTACATGGATTTTTTTTGTTGTGCTATCACATTCTTACATGAGCCTTTGATATTCTTTGCTAACTAGTTTACTTGATTAGTAAATAGATTGGTTAGAATTATTGAAACAGTGACGGAAGAAAATATTTAATTTTTACTTAAAAATTTACATCTAATTTTTTAGGTTCATCATGTAAATGAGAATATGTGGGTTTTCTTTTTTATATCTTTCTGGGCCTGACTCATTTCAGTTGGTGTACTCATTTCCAGATCTGACCAAGTTGTTGCAAAAGATTGGGTTTCAGTTTCTCTTCCCCTCCCTCCCTCCCTCCCTCCCTCCCTCCCTCCCTC